AACACAAAGGGGGGTCCACTCCCTAACCTATGAGACTTCTGTGTTGCCCTAAACCCAAGGGGAAATTCAACCCCTTCTTCCACCAGTGGTGGTTTGCAATAAACAAAAAAGGGTAGTCCACTCCTTACTCTTGGTGGATCTGGCTTGCCAACAAAGCAAAGGGAAACCCTTTCCTTCCCTTACTTCCAAAGGTTCTGGGTTACAACTAACACAAAGGGAAATTCAATCCCTTTCCTCAACTTGCAGAAGGTCTTGGTTGCAATAAGTATAATTCACTCCCTTCCCTTACCTGTAGAGGTTCTGGGTTGCAGTAGGTATCAAGGGTCAGCCACTCTCTTCCCTTACCTGTGGAGGGTCTGGGTTCAGTAGGTATCAAGGGTCAGTAGGTATCAAGGGTCAGCCACTCTCTTCCCTTACCTGTAGAGTGTCTCGGTTTCAATAGATATCAAGGGCCATCCACTCCCTTCCTTTACCTGTGGAGGGTCTGGGTTGCAATAGGTATCAAGGGTCATCCACTCCCTTCCCTTACCTGTGGAGGGTCTGGGTTGCAATAGGTATCATGGGTCATCCTTTCCCTTACCTGTGGAGGGTCTGGGTTGCAGTAGGTATCATAGGTCATCCACTCCCTTCCCTTGCCTGTAGAGGGTTTGGGTTGCAGTAGGTATCATAGGTCATCCACTCCCTTCCCTTACCTGTGGAGGGTCTGGGTTGCAGTAGGTATCATGGGTCATCCACTCCCTTCCCTTACCTATAGAGGGTCTGGGTTGCAATAGGTATCAAGGGTCATCCACTCCCTTCCCTTACCTGTGGAGGGTCTGGGTTGCAGTAGGTACCATAGGTCATCCAATCCCTTCCCTTACCTATAGAGGGTGGTCTGGGTTGTCACAAACAGAGCAATTCAATCCCCTCCCTCTACTTGCAGGAGGTTTGAGTTGCAATAAACTCCAAGGAACATCCACTTCCTTCCCTTTTGCTGTTCTGTCTATCTATAGATTTTGTTGTTTTTCCTTTTTGTTGGTGCTTTGGGCTTGGATTGATTGGTATGTGTTGCAGTTTTACAATAAATGTCACTCTTCCAGGAGGTCTAACTTTTCGGCCATTACTAATTCCTGTTGTACCGCCCCCGATTTTTACATTTGGCTTCCTCCAAACTTCGCCTCTCATTTACTCTGTCTTGCTGTGCTTTCCAGGCTTTGTTTTCTGTCATTGTCCTCTCGGAGGTGTGTAGGCCGGGCAGTCAGTAATCGGGGTGTATCAGGTATCCTGGCAGGCCAGGTGGCGGGATTCTCACATGTCGGACACGTTGCGATGGTAGAATCGGGGAGGTGCGGGTTGCTGGTCCGGTCACTGTGAAGCCCCTGTGGCCATCTAATCTCCTTCCTATGTCATTGACCACCAATGCTGTGAAGTTCCTGAACTCTTGGGGCAGAAAACCACTGATAGCGGTGCGTTTGTGTATGAGTACAGTGTCACGTCTTTCTGTGCTAAGGGACCACCTCTGGTGATCAATATCAGGGTGGGGCTTTCAATTCTGAAGATGAAATTGGAAGGGAGTGTTCCTTCTAAATATCTCAAGTCTAGCAATACATTACAATCTGCTTTAGATTTCCTGCAAACTAGGTAGTGTTTGGGTACATCGTTCCAGTAGACCCAGTCAGGGCACCTACTGGAATGATGTGTCCACTGAAGAACCTACCGGAACGATGCGTCCGCTAGAGAACCTACTGGAGCGATGCGTCCGCTGGAGAACCTACGGGAGCGATGCGTCCGCTGGAGAACCTACGGGAGCGATGCGTCCGCTGGAGAACCTACGGGAGCGATGCGTCCGCTGGAGAACCTACGGGAGCGATGCGTCCGCTGGAGAACCTACGGGAGCGATGCGTCCGCTGGAGAACCTACGGGAGCGATGCGTCCGCTGGAGAACCTACGGGAGCGATGCGTCTGCTGGAGAACCTACCGGAAGGATGCGTCAGATCTGGTAGAGAACCCACTGGAATGATGTGTCTAGAGCACCTACCGGAGCAAAGTGTCTGATCCGGCAGAGAACCTACTTATCTCTGCAGATTCAGATACATTGTTCCTATGGTGGCACACAGAGAAGACAGGGAGGTAGTGTTTGGGCACATCGTTCCCGTAGACCCAATCGGGGAGCCTACTGGAAAGATGCGTCCGGTAGAGAACCTACCGGAACTATGTGTCCGGTAGACAACCTACCAGAACGATGCGTCTGCTAGGAAACCTACCGGAACGATACGTCTGTGGTAGAGCAAAGGGTCATTCACTCCACTCCCTTCCCTTACCTGTGGAGGGTCTGGGTTGCAGTAGGTATCATTGGTCATCCACTCCCTTCCCTTACCTGTGGGGGGTCTGGGTTGCAGTAGGTACCATGGGTCATCCAATCCCTTCCCTTACCTGTGGAGGGTCTGGGTTGCAGTAGGTACCATGGGTCATCCAATCCCTTCCCTTACCTGTGGAGGGTCTGAGTTGCAGTAGGTATGATGGGTCATCCAAGCCCTTCCCTTGCCTGTAGAGGGTCTGGGTTGCAGTAGGTATGATGGGTCATCCAATCCCTTCCCTTACCTGTGGAGGGTCTGGGTTGCAGTAGGTATCAAGGGTCATCCACTCCCTTCCCTTACCTGTAGAGGGTCTGGGTTGCAGTAGGTATCATGGGTCATCCAATCCCTTACCTGTGGAGGGTCTGGGTTGCAGTAGGTATCATGGGTCATCCAATCCCTTCCCTTACCTGTGGAGGGTCTGGGTTGCAGTAGGTATCAAGGGTCATCCACTCCCTTCCCTTGCCTGTGGAGGGTCTGGGTTGCAGTAGGTATCATGGGTCATCCACTCCCTTCCCTTGCCTGTGGAGGGTCTGGGTTGCAGTAGGTATCATGGGTCATCCCTTCCCTTACCTGTGGAGGGTCTGGGTTGCAGTAGGTATCATGGGTCATCCAATCCCTTCCCTTACCTGTGGAGGGTCTGGGTTGCAGTAGGTATCATGGGTCATCCAATCCCTTCCCTTATCTGTGGAGGGTCTGGGTTGCAGTAGGTACCATGGGCATCCAATCCCTTCCCTTACCTGTAGAGGGTCTGGGTTGCTGTAGGTATCAAGGGTCATCCACTCCCTTCCCTTACCTGTGGAGGGTCTGGGTTGCCACAAACAGAGCAATTCAATCCCCTCCCTCTACTTGCAGGAGGTTTGAGTTACAATAAACTCCAAGGAACATCCACTTCCTTCCCTTTTCCCGCTCTGTCGGTCTATAGATTCTGTTGTTTCCCCTTTGTTGGTGCTTTGGGATTGGATTGATTGGTATGTTTTGTACTTTTACATTTCACTCTTCCAGGAAGTTGAACTTTCCGGCCTTTACTAATTCCCGCTGTACCGCCCCCCCCCCCCCCCCCCCTCCTCCAAACTTCCCCTCTTTTATTGTCTTGCTGTGCTTTCCAGGCTTTGTTTGTTTTCTGTTTTGTTATGGTCCTCTGGGAGGTGTATCAGGTATCCTGGAAGGCCAGGTGGCAGGATTCTCGCACGTCGGACAGGTTGTGATGGTAGAATCAGCGATGTGCGGGTTGCTGTAGGGGTCACTGTGAAGCCCCTGTGGCCATCTAATCTCCTTCCTATGTCATTGTATATATTCATTGTAATAAAGATGGGCAGGAGCTAGTCCCAAAGTGCGGGAAAATCAAGCCTCCTAAAAAGTGATAGTAGTTCCAGAGGGCCCAATATAAACCTAGGCAGGAGCTAGACCCAAAAGTGTGGGAAAATAAAACCTTCTGAGAAGTGATAGCTGTTCCAGAGGGGTGCACAGAAGAGGGTTTTCTGGCCCAATATAGCTGGGCAGGAGCTAGACCCAAAGTACGGGAAAATCAAGACTCTGATAGCAGTTTCAGAAGGGTGCACAGAAGAGGGTTTTCTTTGCCCAAGAAAGCTGGGCAGGAACTAGACCCAAAAGTGTGGGGAAAATAAACCCTCCTGAGAAGTGATAGCCATTCCAGTGGGGTGCACAGAAGAGGGTTTTCTGGCCCAATAAAGCTGGGCAGGAGCTAGTCCCAAAGAGCGGGAAAATCAAGCCTCCTATTGGCAGTCTCAGAGGGGTGCACAGAAGAGGGTTTCTTGACCGAATAAAACTGGACAGAAGCTAGACCCAAAAGTGCGGGAAAATCAAGCCTCCTAAGAAGTGATAGCCATTCCAGAGGGGTGAACAAAAGGGGGCTTGCTGGCCAAATAAAGCTGGGCAGGAGCTAGTCCCAAAAGTGCGGGAAAATCAAGCCTCCTAGGAAGAGATGGTAGTTCTAGAGGGGTGAACAAAAGAGGGTTACGTGGCCCAATAAAGCTGGGCAGGAGCTGATCCCAAAGAGCAGGAAAATCAAGCCTCCGATTAGCAGTTTCAGAGGGTTGCACAGAAGAGGGTTTCTTGACCCAATAAAACTGGGCAGAAGCTAGACCAAAAGTGCGAGAAAATCAAGCCTCCTAAGAAGTGATAGCCATTCCAGAGGGGTGAACAAAAGAGGGCTTGCTGGCCCACTAAAGCTGGGCAGGAGCTAGTCCCAAAGAGCGGAAAAATCAAGCCTCCTTTTAGCAGTTTCAGAGGGGTGCACAGAAGAGGGTTTCTTGGCCCAGTAAAGCTGGGCAGAAGCTAGACCCAAAAGTGCGGGAAAATCAAGCCTTCTAAGAAGTGATGAGTTCTAGAGGAGGCGTACTTAAGGTTTTCTGGGCCAAAAAGAGCAAGGCTCACTTTAGACCAGGGTGTGCACAGACACAAATGCCCCCGGGGGCTGGTTTCACATATTTGCAGCCACTCCCAACACCTTAACAGGTTCTATTTGGTGATCATACAGGCTGTGCCTTAAGAAATGGCTGCTCTTCGGGTTCTGTAGTTCTACTTCACTTTTTTCGGTGGACTATCCCTTTTTAAGAAATCATGACAGTTAAAATTTGAAAAAAAAAAAAAAAGGGGCGCATCCCTTTAAATTGTCTGTCTGTCCCCTCCCCCCCACAGGTGAAGATGATCCGCCGGGTCCTGGAGAGGCCCTGTACCCTGGCCATGCTGATTGGCTTCCAGTTTGCCTTCATGATGTACTTCTCGTTCGGCGGCCTGCGCAGCCTCGCCTCCATCTTCGGACGATCGCCGGAGCCCAGTTTCGACTACAGCCACACCCACGACGTCTACACCAACCTCACCCGAATTCAGGCCACGCTTCACCCCGGGACGCTGGAGGGCGGACTGCTGCCGTGGTGCCCGGAGAAGTCCCCGTACCTGGGTGAGTTTCAGAAATGTAACGCCTTCCGGCGCCGATAACCAACGCGGGACGATTAATGCAACCGCCAAAGATCCATCGATCGATTATTCCGTGCAGCCAGCTTTGTGACCTGACTTCTCTCTGCTGCTGATAGGTAATACGGTCTGGTCACCTCCCCGCCCCCAGCCTGTGATTGGACCGTTGAAGGAGAAGCAGCAGACTGATGAGATCAGCTTGCTGCATACAGACCCCTGTATACTGTGTGTGTGTGTGTGTGTATACAGGGGGGTGTATGTGTGTATACAGGGGGGTGTGTGTGTGTATACAGGGGTGTATGTGTGTATACAGGGGTGTATGTGTGTGTGTATACAGGGGGGTGTATGTGTGTATACAGGGGTGTATGTGTGTGTATACAGGGGTGTATGTGTGTGTATACAGGGGTGTATGTGTGTATACAGGGGGGTGTGTGTGTATACAGGGGGGTGTGTGTGTCTTACAAGGGGGTATGTGTGTGTATACAGGGGGGTATGTGTGTGTATACAGGGGTGTATGTGTGTATACAGGGGGGTGTGTGTGTATACAGGGGGGTGTGTGTGTGTATACAGGGGGGTGTGTGTGTGTATACAGGGGTGTATATGTGTGTGTGTATACAGGTGTATGTGTGTGTGTATACAGGGGTGTGTGTGTGTGTATACAGGGGGGTGTGTGTGTGTATACAGGGGGGTGTGTGCGTGTATACAGGGGGGGGTGTGTGTGCGTGTATACAGGGGGGGTGTGTGCGTGTATACAGGGGGGTGTGTGCGTGTATACAGGGGTGTGTGTGTGTGTATACAGGGGTGTGTGTGTGTGTATACAGGGGGCTGTGTGTGTGTATACAGGGGGCTGTGTGTGTGTATACAGGGGGCTGTGTGTGTGTATACAGGGGGGTGTGTGTGTATACAGGGGGCTGTGTGTGTGTGTATACAGGGGCTGTGTGTGTGTGTATACAGGGGGGTATGTGTGTGTATACAGGGGGCTGTGTGTGTGTGTATACAGGGGGCTGTGTGTGTGTGTATACAGGGGTGTGTGTGTATACAGGGGGGTATGTGTGTGTATACACAGGGGGCTGTGTGTGTGTGTGTATACAGGGGGCTGTGTGTGTGTGTATACAGGGGGCTGTGTGTGTGTGTGTATACAGGGGGGTCTTATGTGTATACACAGGGGGGTGTATGTGTATACAGGGGTGTGTGTGTATACAGGGGTGTATGTGTGTGTATACAGGGGGGTGTGTGTATACAGGGGGGTGTGTGTGTGTATACAGGGGGGTGTGTGTGTGTATACAGGGGTGTGTGTGTGTGTGTATACAGGGGTGTGTGTGTGTATACAGGGGTGTGTGTGTGTATACAGGGGGGTGTATATATATATCGCTCACATACGCAGGAGAGAATATTTCCAGGTACTCATGGCTCCTCCTCCTTCCTGCAGTGGGTCCGATCACGGTGACGTTCAGCCAGGTGCCGATTTTCCAGCGGATACAAGAAAAGAACCGCCTGGTGGTGAGGGGAGGTATCTACCGACCGCCGAACTGTGAGTCCCGCCATCGCACGGCCGTCATCATCCCGCACCGGAACCGCGAGACCCACCTGAGACACCTCCTGTACTACCTGCACCCCTTCCTGCAGAGACAGCAGCTGCACTACGGGATCTACATCATCCACCAGGTGACTCCACCCTTCTGTGTACAGAACCATGGCCCAATTCTTACCTCCCCCCCACCATTGTGTGTACAGAACCATGGCCCAGTTCTTACCTTCCTCCCCACACCCCTTCCTTCCTTCCCTCCCCTCCACCCTTATGTGTACAGTTCTGTGGCTCAATTATCCCCCCCCCCCCAATCCATCCATGTGTATAGCCCAGTTCTTGAACTGCATCCTTCACTATTATTTGTGTAGCCCCATAGCCAGCTCCTACCCCCGTCCACCAGGTGATGCCATCATCATGTGTATAGCCCTATGGCCCCGTTCTTACATCTCCTTCCCTTTGGTGCTCTCTCTCCTGTCTGCTTCCACGTTGCTCTCCACCTCTCTCCTCTTCGTTGCCCTCCACGTCTTTCCTCTTCGTTGCCCTCCCACTCTCTCTCCTCTTCGTTGCCCTCCACCTCTCTCCTCTTCGTTGCCCTCTCACCTCTCTCCTCTTCGTTGCCCTCCACCTCTCTCCTCTTCGTTGCCCTCCACCTCTCCCCTCTTCGTTGCCCTCCACCTCTCTCTCTCCTTTGTTGCTCTCCACCTCTCTCCTCTTTGTTGCTCTCCACCTCTCTCCTCTTTGTTGCTCTCCACCTCTCTCCTCTTTGTTGCTCTCCACCTCTCTCCTCTTCGTTGCCCTCCACCTCTCTCTCTTTCCTCTCTCCTTCTTCCTCGTTGCTCTCCATGACTCCTCTCTCTCTTGCCCAGCTCCTACCCCACATCCACCAGGTGATGCCCCCATTATATGTATAGTCCATGGCCCAATTCTTACCCCCCCTTCTCCTCCACCATTATGTGTAGAGCTCTATGACTCAATTATCCCCCCCCCTCCCCCCCAACCCACCATCATGTGTATAACCCCATGGCTCAGTTCTTGAACTGCATCCCCACTGTTATATGTGTAGCCCCATGGCCAGCAATTACCCCCATCCACCAGGTGATGCCCGATTCTTACATCTCCTTCTCTTCGTTGCTCTCCACGTCTCTCTCTTTCTCTCTCCTTCTTCCTCGTTGCCCTCCACGTCTCTCTCTTTCTCTCTCCTTCTTCCTCGTTGCTCTCCACGTCTCTCTCTTTCTCTCTCCTTCTTCCTCGTTGCTCTCCACGTCTCTCTCTTCTCTCTCTCCTTCTTCCTCGTTGCCCTCCTCCACGTCTCTCTCTTTCTCTCTCCTTCTTCCTCGTTGCTCTCCACGTCTCTCTCTTTCTCTCTCCTTCTTCCTCGTTGCTCTCCACGTCTCTCTCTTTCTCTCTCCTTCCTTCCTCGTTGCCCTCCACGTCTCTCTCTTTCTCTCTCCTTCTTCCTCGTTGCTCTCCACGTCTCTCTCTTTCTCTCTCCTTCTTCCTCGTTGCTCTCCCGTCTCTGTCTTTCTTTCTTCTTCTTCGTTGCTCTCTCCACGTCTCTCTTTCTCTCTCCTTCTCCTTCCTCGTTCCACGCTCTCCACGTCTCTCTCTTTCTCTCTCCTTCTTCCTCGTTGCCTCCACGTCTCTCTCTTTCTCTCTCCTTCTTCCTCGTTGCCCTCCACGTCTCTCTCTTTCGTCTCTCTCTCTTCTTCCTCGTTGCTCTCCACGTCTCTCTCTTTCTCTCTCCTTCTTCCTCGTTGCTCTCCACGTCTCCTGTCTTTCTCTCTCCGTCTTCCTCGTTGCTCTCCACGTCTCTGTCTTTCTTTCTTCTTCTTCGTTGCTCTCCACTCTCTCTCTTTCTCTCTCCTTCTTCCTCGTTCTCCTCTCCACGTCTCTGTCTTTCTCTCTTCTTCCTCGTTGCTCTCCACGTCTCTGTCTTTCTTTCTTCTTCTTCATCGCTCTCCACGTCTCTCTCTCTTTCTCTCTCCGTCTCTCTCTCCTCCACATCTCTCTCCTCCTTCCTCATCGCTCTCTGTCTCTTAGGCCGGGAACGCCACTTTTAACCGGGCGAAGCTGCTGAACGTCGGTGTGAAGGAGGCCATGCGGGACGAGGACTGGGATTGCCTTTTCCTCCATGACGTTGATCTCATTCCTGAGAACGACCACAACCTGTACGTGTGTGACCCCTGGAACCCCAAACACGCCTCGGTGGCCATGAACAAGTTCAGCTACAGGTCTGATTTCTGGGTGTCTCTCTCCTGTGTCTCCCCCCCCCCCCCCCGGCTTCTTCTGTCTCCCTTCCTCCATCTGTCATCTCCCTCCGCTCTTCCTTCTTTCTTCCTTCTTACCATCTGCTCCATCCTCAGCTTTCTTGGATTCATGTCTTCAATCTTCTCTCCATCTGCAGCCTCCCGTATCCGCAGTACTTCGGGGGGGTCTCTGCCCTCACCCCAGAACAATACATGAAGATGAATGGCTTTCCCAATGAATATTGGGGGTGGGGAGGAGAAGACGATGACATTGCAACCAGGTAAGAAGAGACCGGTCCTCTTTACTGACCCCCCCAACCCCCCCCCCCTTGTGTCTATCCAGACTTCCTGCATCCTATTTTCATCTCTTCTGTCATTTTCTTCATGAAAAAATGTATTCTAATAAACACTATGGTGGGGTTCCCACCATCCCTGTGCTGAGTTCCCGGGTCTGTACACTTTCTGTGCCCATTATGGGGTTCCCACCATCCCTGTGCTGAGTTCCCGGGTCTGTACCCCGCTGTGCCCATTATGAGGGGTTCCCACCATCCCTGTGCTGAGTTTCCCGGGTCTGTACCCCCGCTGTGCCCATTATGAGGGGTTCCCACCATCCCTGTGCTGAGTTCCCGGGTCTGTACGCCCGCTGTGCCCATTATGAGGGGTTCCCACCATCCCTGTGCTGAGTTCCCGGGTCTGTACGCCCGCTGTGCCCATTATGAGGGGTTCCCACCATCCCTGTGCTGAGTTCCCGGGTCTGTACGCCCGCTGTGCCCATTATGAGGGGTTCCCACCGTCCCTGTGCTGAGTTCCCGGGTCTGTACGCCTGCTGTGCCCATTATGAGGGGTTCCCACCATCCCTGTGCCATCTTTGTACACTCCCTGCTCTGTCTCCTCCAATACTTGATGCTTCCTGAATTCTGCTCTTCTATTATGTAACCATTTGATTTGTTTTTACATTTCGTTTATTTCCCGCCCTCATTCCAGGTCTCGTGTATCCATGTCTGCACTATAAGCTGCCCGTGTTCCCCGGCATCCACCCATCGGAGCTCAGACTCTCCTGCCTCCTGATTGGTTGGCTGTGGGGTAGCCCAGGCAGTTCATATTTCAGGCTGGGTGGTGCAGGAGGCGGATTGTTGGCTGTGTCTGTCTCATCTTCTCCATCTCTCTCTCTCCACGCTGTCGCATGTCGCTCCAGGATCTGCATGTTCGTCCCCTCTGGCTGCCATTTTGTCTCTAACGCTCTGCGCTTTTCTCACTGTGACTCTCTTTCCTCTAAGCAGGTGACCTGAGCAGGTAGGTGACCAACCAATCGAGGGGCTTCAGATTTGTAGGGGGGGCCAAACTGGAGACAGGATAAAGTTCAATCTGATTCTAGTTCACCTCCCTCCCCCCCCCCCCCCCCTTATCAATGAGCAAATAACATTTTTAAATAAAGCTTTTTTTGTTTTCCTTACACACCTTTTATAAATATACCCTGTGATGTCATCACTGGGTCTCTGTGCTTCTCTAAGCAATGCAGGTAGATCAAGGCTGATGGGGGAGGGGCTGTACATAGCATCCTGAAAACATAGCATCACCCTGCCTCAGGCTCCTCTGGAGAGGCCTCATCGGTGGGAGGAGTTATGCAAATTATTAAAAATGCCCTGATAGGTGGGATGTCAGTCAAGGAATGGGCGTTCTTAAGCAGGCTGCATTTGCATAGGTGATGCCCACATGATGATGAGCCTTCTGTGATTGAAAGACCTCAAATCCATGGATGAAAGGGGCGGGGCCAGGAACAATCAGGCTGGGGGGAAAGAGCTAGATGATGCTTTACGCCGGCCATAGCCGAATCTTCGTCCGAAAGAATAATCGGCCGATATTCGCACCGTGAGTGATGCAATGTCGTCGGCTGATTTTCACATTTCTTTTATTGGTCATACTGGAAAATTTATGAAAAACGGCCGATTTTTCGTAAGTTTTGGTGGCAACCGAATGACCGATTTTTCGTTTCTCGGCCGATAAATGAACCATCTATGAGCTGCATTATGATGCTGGGTGTCCTCCAGCCAGGAAAGGGGGCCGAGCTCTATCTGGTTGCAACTTCTAATGCCGGCCATAGACGGGTCAAAAACCGGCCGTTTTTAAAAAAAAAAAAAAAAAAAAAAAAATCGGTCGTTCAATAGGCCGATGTTACCACCAACGGTAAAAAAAAATGGCCGATTTTCGTCCCGTCTGCGGCCGGCATTTAATGACTTCTGTCCCTTGCAGAGAGCTCCACTATTATATTTTACATGAAAGTCTTGCAGTTGCAACAATGTATCCATTTGTATCCATTTGTATCCATTTGTATCCATTTCGGATGCAGATGTTTTTTATTGGGATACAAATAGATACAATATTGCAACCGCAAGACTTTCATGTAAAATATAATAGCGGACTGGAATTCTTCTTATCCTTCTCTTCTTCTTCTCCCTCTTCTTTTTCTCCCTCTTCTCCCTCTTCTCCTCCCTCTTCTCCTCCTTCTTCTTCTCCTTCCCCCTCTTCTCCCTCCTCCCTCTTCTTTTTCTCCCTCTTCTCCTCCCTCTCCCTCTTCTTCTTCTCCTTCTCCTCTCTCCTCCTCTTCTCCCTCTTCTTCTCCTTCTTCTCCCCTTCTCCTTCTCCCTCTTCTTCTCCTTCTTCTTCTCCTTCTTCTCCTTCTCCCTCTTCTTTCTTCTCCCTCTTCTCCTTCTTCTTCTCCTTCTTCTCCTTCTTCTCCTTCTCTCCCTCTTCTCCTCCCTCTCCTTCTCCCTCTTCTCCTTCTCCTTCTTCCTTCCTCTCTCTCTTCTCCCTCTTCTTCTTCTCCTTCTCCCTCTTCTCCTTCCCCCTCTTCGCTCCTTCCCCTCTTCTCCTTCTCCTTCTCCTTCCCCCTCTTCTCCTTCCCCCTCTTCTCCTTCCCCCTCTTCTCCTTCTCCCTCTCTTCTCCCTCTTCTCCTCCTTCTCTCCTCTTCTTCTTCTCCTTCTCCCTCTTCTCCTTCTCCCTCTTCTCCTTCTCCCTCTTCTCCTTCCCCCCCTCTTCTCCTTCTCCTTCTCCCTCTTCTCTTCCCCCTCTTTCCTTCCCCCTCTCTCCTCTTCTTCTTTCTCCTTCTCCCTCTTCTCCTTCTCCCTCTTCTCCTCTCTTCTCCTTCCCCCTCTTCTCCTTCCCCCTCTTCTCCTTCCCCCTCTTCTCCTTCCCCCTCTTCTCCTTCTCCCTCTTCTCCCCCTCCTTCTCCTTCCCCCTCTTCTCCTTCCCCCTCTTCTCCTTCCCCCTCTTCTCCTTCCTCCCCTCCTTCTTCTTCGCCACAGCTCATGCGTAGATTTCTTTTATCGGTAAAAAGATTGGCCAAATTTTTTTCCAAATTCACTAATGAAAAAAAAGTGCCAAAACCCTGAAAAACGGCCAACCAATTAACCCATTAACGGTGCGAAAATCAGCCAATTTTTTTTTTTTTGGAAGAAAAATCGGCTGATTTTCGACCAGTCTATAGCCTGCATAATGCACATTGCGAGAAGCTCACAGTGTGCAGTCAAATCAGGGGAAGCCGTTTTCAGTCCAGGGGGGGAGCCGGGACACCCAGAGGATGGAGGTGGGATTGAAGGAGGGATAGATAGATATGGCAGAATACAGCGAAGGAAATGTGTATTTGTTCCCCAGCTGATGCTGAATGTTCGCCCCTCACACGGAAATGATCGGTCTAACAATGGAATGTTCGCCCCTCACACAGAAATGATCGGTCTAACAATGGAATGTTCGCCCCTCACACGGAAATGATCGGTCTAACAATGGAATGTTCGCCCCTCACACAGAAATGATCGGTCTAACAATGGAATGTTCGCCCCTCACACGGAAATGATCGGTCTAACAATGGAATGTTCGCCCCTCACACGGAAATGATCGGTCTAACAATGGAATGTTCGCCCCTCACACAGAAATGATCGGTCTAACAATGGAATGTTCGCCCCTCACACGGAAATGATCGGTCTAACAATGGAATGTTCGCCCCTCACACAGAAATGATCGGTCTAACAATGGAATGTTCGGTGTAACACTGAGAGACAGAATACAACAACAAATTCAGCAGAAATGCGTCTAACAAATGATGACGGATCTGCATGTTCATGAGGGAAAGAAGGATTTGATCCCCTTCACAAAACATGATTTAGTACTTGGTGGCCAATCCCTTGTTGGCCATCACAGAGGTCAGACGTTTCCTGGAGTTGGCCCCCAGGTTCGCACACATCTCAGGAGGGATTTTGGCCCACTCCTCTTGGCAGATCCTCTCCAAGTCATTAAGGTTTGGTGGCTGACATTTGACAACTCGAACTTTCAGCTCCTCCACAGATTTTCCATCGGATGAAGGTCTGGAGACTGGCTAGGCCACTCCAGGACCTTAATGTGCTTCTTCTTGAGCCGCTCCTTTGTTGCCTTGGCCGTGTGTTTTGGGTCATTGTCATGCTGGAACACCCATCCACCAACCATTTTCAATGCCCTGGCTGAGGGAAGAAGGTTCTCACCCAAGATTTGATGGTACATTGCCCCGTCCATCGTCCCTTTAATGTGGTGCAGTTGTCCTGTCCCCTTAGCAGAAAAACACCCCCAAAGCAGAATGTTTCCACCACCATGTTTCACAGTTGGGATGGTGTTCTTGGGGTCATAGGCAGCATTCCTCCTCCTCCAAACAAGGCGAGTTGAGTTGATGCCAAACAGCTGGATTTTGGTCTCCTCTGACCACAACACTTCCCACCAGTCCTCCTCTGCATCATTCAGATGTTCAGTGGCAGACTTCAGACGGGCCTGGACATGGGCTTTCTTGAGCAGAGGGACCTTGCGGGCACTGCAGGATTTCAGTCCTTGTCGGCGTAGTGTGTTACCAATTGTTCTCTTGGTGACTGCGGTCCCAGCTGCCTGGAGATCATTGACAAGATCCTCACGTGTAGTTCTGGGATGATTCCTCACTGTTCTCATGATCATTGACACTCCACGAGGGGAGATCTTGCATGGTGCACCAGACCTAGGGAGACTGACACTTGTTTTGTGTTTCTTCCATTTGTGAATGATTGCACCAACTGTTGTCACCTTCTCACCAAGCTGCTTGGCCATAGTTTGGTAGCCCAGTCCAGCCTTGTGTAGGTCTACCATCTTGTCCCTGACATCCTTGGACAGCTCTTTGGTCTTTGCCATGGTGGAGAGTTTGGAATCTGATGGTTTGATTGCTCCTGTGGACAGGTGTCTTTTATACAGGTAACACAATGAGATTAGCAGCACTCCCTTTAAGAGACTGCTTCTAATCTCAGCTTGTTACCTGTATGAGAGACACCTGGGAGCCAGAAATCCTGCTGAATGATAGGGGATCAAATCCTTCTTTCCCTCATGAACATGCAGATCAGTCATCATTTGTTAGACGCATTTCTGCTGAATTTGTTGTTGTATTCTGTCTCTGTGTTACACCGAACATTCCATTGATAGACCGATCATTTCTGTGTGAGGGGCGAACATTCCATTGTGTTAGACCGATCGTTTCTGTGTGAGGGGCGAACATTCCATTGTTAGACCGATCATTTCTGTGTGAGGGGCGAACATTCCATTGTTAGACCGATCGTTTCTGTGTGAGGGGTGAACATTCCATTGTTAGACCGATCATTTCTGTGTGAGAGGCGAACATTCAGCATCAGCTGGGGAGTGAATACACATTTCCTTCACTGTATAATATATATATATTTTTGTTTTTAATATGTTGCTCTGTTAGGCAGTTCTATATTTCTGAGTGTTTTTGATTTTGTTCATTCCCTATAATAAGCAGTTAGCCGTTTTATGTGCATTTTTATGTAGGACGGAGTATGAACTTGTCTCTAAAGGAGCAGCCTAGGAATTCCAAGCCGCTGAGTATGTGATTATTACCAGAGCGGTCTGTCTTGTCCCCTCCCAGGAGATTCTATGATACAATATCCTGTATGACCTTCCCTGACCTCCCAGGCCTTGTATTCCCGCCACTAACCCCGTGTCACTCTGCGCTTCCTCAGGGTCCGGCTGGCCGGGATGAAGATTGCTCGCCCGCCTGTATCGGTCGGACATTACAAGATGGTGAAGCATAAGGGGGACCGAGGGAACGAAGAAAACCCACACAGGTGAGGGGTCAGCAGGTATTTGGAGAGGTGGGGGAGCTAAGAAAAAAAAGTTATGTAAGAAAATTATTATATATATTATACTTTTAATATTTAATTGAAATATTTAATAATTTTTCTATAAATATATAAATATATATATATATATATATACATACATACACACACACGTGTGAGATATAGACAGATAGATCTAGCACACGTATGTATGTGTGTGTGTGTGTATATATATATAATAGAAACATTATAAAATTATCCACATAGAAAAAAATTAAGTATTAAAAAAATATATGTTTTTTAATATTTAATTTCTCTATTTAGATATTTTATAACTTTTGTAGAATTTAAAAAGAAAAAAATGTGTGTGTGTATATGTATGTATATATATATATATATATATATATATATATATAATATATTATATATATATATATATGTATGTGTGTGTGTATACAGTTGCAAGAAAAAGTATGTGAACCCCTTGGGATTACGAGGAGTTTTGCATGAATTGGGCATAAAATGTGCTCTGAACGTCATCTAAGTCACAACAATAGAAGAAAACACAGTCTGCTGAACATAATACTACACAAACATTAGATGTTGCCATGGTTTAATTGCACATAACATGTAAAACATTCACAGTGCAGGGAGGAAAAAGTATGTGAGGCCCTAGCTTAATGACTTCTCCCAGAGCTAATTGGAGCCAGGAGTGAGCCAACCTTGACTCCAATCAGTGTGATGATATTGGATGTGTTGCTGACAGCTGTCCTGCCCTTAAAAAACACACACCTGTTTTTGGGTTTACTGGTTTCAAGAAGCACTGTCTGATGTGAACCATGCCTCGCAGAAAAGAGCTCTCAGAAGACCTACGATCAAGAATTTTTGACTTGCATGAAGCTGGAATGGGTTACAAAAGTATCTCCAAAGCCTTGATGTTCCTGTGTCCACGGTAAGACAGACTGTCTACAAATGGAGAAAGTTTAGCACTGTTGCTACTCTCCCTAGGCGTGGTCGTCCTGTAAAAATGACTGCAAGAGCACAGCGCAGAATGCTGCATGAGATAAAGAAGAATCCCAGAGTGTCAGCTAAAGACCTACAGAAATCTCTGGCACATGCTAACATTTTTGTTGACACATCTACAATAAGGAAAACATGAAACAAGAATGGAGTACATGGGAGGACACCACGGAGGAAGCCATCGCTGTCCAAAAAGAAGATTGCAGCACGTTTGAAGTTTGCAGAAGAGCACCTGGATGTTCCACAGCACTACTGGCAAAATATACTGTGGACAGATGACACCAAGATTGAGTTGTTTGGGAAGAAACACACAACACTATGTGTGGAGAAAAAAAGGCACAGCACACCAACATCAAAACCTCATCCCCACTGTGAAACATGGCGGAGGGAGCATCATGGTTTGGGGCTGCTTTGCTGCCTCAGGGCCTGGACGGATTGTTGTTCATTGATGGGAAAATGAATTCCAGAGTTTATCAAGACATTTTGCAGGAAAACGTACGACCATCTGTCCGCCAACTGAAGCTCCGCAGAGGATGGGTGATGCAACAGGACAATGACCCAAAGCATACAAGTCATTCAACAAAACAATGGCTGCAACAGCACAGAATACGCCTTCTGGAGTGGCCCAGTCAGAGTCCTGACCTCGACCCAATTGAAATGCTGTGGCATGACCTTAAGAGAGCGATTCACACCAGACATCCCAAGAATATTGCTACACTGAAACAGTTTTGTGAAGAGGAGTGGTCCAAAATGACTCCAGATCATTGTGCAGGTCTGATCTGCAACTACAGGAAACGTTTGGTTGAGGTTATTGCTGCCAAAGGAGGGTCAACCAGTTATTAAGTCCAAAGGTTCACATACTTTTTCCTCCTGCACTGTGAATGTTTACATGTTTTATGTGCAATTAAACCATGTCAACATCTAATGTTTGTGTAGTATTATGTTCAGCAGACTGTGTTCTTCTATTGTTGTGACTTAGATGAAGTTCAGAGCACATTTTATGCCCAATTCATGCAAAACTCCACGTAATCCCAAGGGGTTCACATACTTTTTTGCAACTGTATATATGTATATATATATATATTATATATATATATATATATATATATATATATATATATATATTTTATAGAATTTTTTTTTTTTAATTCTACAAAAATTATCTAATGAGAAAAATTAAATATTAAAAACATATATATATTTTTAATAATTAATTTTTCTATTTAGATAATTTATAATGTTTCTATAATATATACATACACACACGTATGTGTGCTAGATCTATCTGTCTATATCACACATATATATATTTATTTATTATAGAAAAATTATATATATATAGATATATAGACACGTATGTATGTGTGCTAGATCTATCTATATCACATACACACGTGTGTGTGTGTGTGTGTATATATATTTATTATAGAAAAATTTATAAATCTTTAAATAGAAAAATTAAATATTAACAAAGTATATTTATATTTAATTATATGTATCATTTTTAAAATATTTTTCTTCATCACATTTTTTTTTTTTTTTTTTTTTAAATATAATACACACCCGCATGATTAATGATTTCCTGCACATCCAAAAAATAACACCTAGTCATCACTGAGCAGCCCAGAGGATTATGGGATGTAAAGGCTACAGATCAGGTGCAGCAGATTAGGGAATTTAGGATAATCTTTCTTCCAGGAACCATAAAGTTGAATGAGACGTGGCCGATAACTTTCATATTTCTTCAAATGCGTTATTCAATGACACCGCGCTGGGATGAAGTATTTATTGAATGTAATTAAGTGCACTATAAACCTGAATTGTGAGTTCCATTTATTCTTCCAAACTGTACAACAGTGACACCTCCTGGATATAGACAGGAACTACAGCGTCTGAAATAAAAGTGAATTATTTGCATAATTGACTCTAACCCCCCCCCCCCCCCCCCCCCCCCCCCCCCCCCCCCACACACCCCACACACCCCAGTCCCATCAGTCTCTGTACCAGAGGACACTTACACTCTGATGTGACCCAGGGACATTAGAGTGTAAGCTCTTCTGGTACAGAGACTGAGACTGTGGAGGAGGGGACGTCTAGAGTGTAAGTTCTTCTGGTGTGGGACGGAGGGGACGTTAGAGCGTAAGCTCCTCTGGTACAGAGACTGATGGGACTGTGGGGGAGGGGACATTAGAGCGTAAGCTCCTCTGGTATAGAGACTGATGGGACTGTGGGGGAGGGGACATTATAGCGTAAGCTCCTCTGGTATAGAGACTGATGGGACTGTGGGGGAGGGGACAATAGAGCGTAAGCTCCTCTGGTATAGAGACTGATGGGACTGTGGGGGAGGGGACATTATAGCGTAAGCTCCTCTGGTATAGAGACTGATGGGACTGTGGGGGAGGGGACATTAGAGCGTAAGCTCCTCTGGTACAGAGACTGATGGGACTGTGGGGGAGGGGACATTAGAGCGTAAGCTCCTCTGGTACAGAGACTGATGGGACTGTGGGGGAGGGGACATTAGAGCGTAAGCTCCTCTGGTACAGACTGATGGGACTGTGGGGGAGGGGACATTAGAGTGTAAGCTCCTCTGCTATAGAGACTGATGGGACTGTGGGGGAGGGGACATTAGAGCGTAAGCTCCTCTGGTACACACACTCTTCGAGTTGGGGGATAAATCTCCATGTGTGTGTGGCTATAGGGGGAGGGGAGGGGGGATGTCACCATAATTATCTCTTGATAGGCTGCCATTTTTCTGGAATCATAATGGGGGTTGTATGATCCGATAAGCGCCTGACCTGTGCCGCCATTTTGTTCCCCAGGTTTGACTTGCTGATCCGAACCCAACGGATGTGGACTCAGGATGGTATGAATTCTCTAACCTACACGCTGCTGTCCAAAGACCTGCAGCCCCTCTACACCAACATCACTGTGGACATCGGGGGTGGACCCCAGGTCACAGAAGCCATTGCGGATGCGCGGTCCCACTCCTCCACCGTCTCAGCCTCAAAGCAACGTGACCACCAACGGGTCCACCAGAGGGAAGCTCACTGTGGTTGTCCAGTCATCCCTCAACTCCTCCATCGCTCTGGACAACGCCAAGAAGGTAACCCCCGCCATCTTAAACGATCCAAAAAGACTTAAGCGGGAAGACAAGGGTCCTGGAGCCACCGTCAAGCCAAGCAAAACGGAGGAGGAGGAGGTCCATGATGCCGATAGTCCCATCATTTCACATCTACTGCAACAGGCCCCTAAAAAGAGAATGCCCCGGAGCGTCAAACTAGACCCACCGGAAGCCGAGAGGCCGCTGAACCAAACTTCTCTAAGGAGGCCTCCGACGCTCGAGAGGCAAGCCAAAAAGGATCCCAAGCAACTTTGAGAATGGTTTACTACTGGTTGCTGGCAACTTGAGTGAAGACCAGCTCGGATGGTGCTTCTTTTTCTTGGCGTGGATAGGTTAAGCCAAGGAAATAGTGACCACCTTTTTCCAGTGTCTTCAAGAAGCGTCCGGTCTTGGGAACTGTGCTGTCTGAACGACGTGAGGACTTGGGTCAAGGTCTGATTTTTTTATTTTTTTTAAGACCTTCTCGTAGAGTCCCAGTCTGTTTCAGAGCCTTGGACCTGCAAGAAAGCTGGTTGAGATGCCTCCTGATGGGCTGAAGCTCCTCTTGCCTCAGAGAAGATCACACACTCCTTTTTTTTTGTTTTTGTTTTGTGCAAGGAAATTCAGGTTTCACTGTGAAAATGGCCAATGACTGAACCCGCTGCCTTGTAACACCACCCTACACCCCCCCCCCCCCCCCGGTGGTACTGCCTCCTAAACAGCAGGGGGTGGTGTTGTACATACAATGTAAGGCAAACCTGTTGGGACAGAAATGTGGAAGCCGGCGGGTTTATTGGATAACTGGAATGCTGGGGCTCTGGGTTCCACATCTAAAGTATCCAATTGGTTTTTGAGTTTTTTTTGTTTTTTTTTGGATTGTCCGCTGAAGCAGTTTATTGGACGTACAGATGGAACACTTAACGCGTTTCGGCAGGTTTCATACGCTTTTGTCGTAAAATGAACGGGGGAAGATCTATTTCAAAGGTTAGTATCCTGCTCTTGAGATCAGGTCCACCAAACCCCAACTGCAGGATACTTAGATTCCACCGCTCCGATGAAGACGGTCTTCTAGAACCGCCGAAACGCGTCGAGTATGCAACCTGTGAACCATTTTTGGTGCTTTTCTTCCTGCTCTATAAAAACGTCCTCTTTGATGGTCATTGGTTGACTTCATGGATGACCTCATCAAAAAAAAAAAAAAAAAAAAAAATCGTAGCCGCCAACTTCCGTATTTCTATCCCGAGCGGTTTCCTTTTTTTCGAGCTGTATATAAAGTGTAGACATAACTATATATATTTTAAAGAAAAAAAAAACAAAGTGTAATTTAATTGCTCCGTGCTGTGCGCTGGGTGTGTCCTTTCTCAGGCTGCTACGTCTTTTAAAAACGGTGAGGAAAAAAAGAAAAAACAAATTTCGCCAAAATCTTTTTTGTGTGTGGTACAGGTTTTGGGGAAAAAAAAAAAAAAAAAAAAAAAAAACTTTGAAAATGTGAGCGAGCAAGACAGTATTTACAATTCCGACAACTCCAAGTGTTTCAATGTATCCATATTTCTGAGTGGATAAACTGCCTCTTTGTGCTAGCTTGTCCTTTTTTTTTTTTTTTTTTTTTTTTTTTATTTATTTGGCTGATTTTTGGTGTATCACACAAAGCACTGGAATGGACTACGACTTAATATTTAATTTATGAAAGATTGTAACAAAATGAGATTTTATTATTTTTTTTTTTTCTTAAAGAACAAGCGAGGACCCCCTTGCTGGACTGGGTCTTCGATGGTGCGATTTACGCGTTGCCCTGCCTCAGGGTCTCCACGTTTCTTGACGTTTATTTCATTAAATTATAAAATTTAAATTTTTTTTTGGGTTGATTTTATTTCGGTGAGTTTGTTTGTCTGAATTGAAAGAAACCAAAACCTTGGATTGCGTGGGAGAAAGGTCAGAGGCTTTTTTGCTGCTAATATTATATTATATTATATATTTTTTTTTTTAAGTGCTGAGCACTGGGGTGTATTTAGTGAACATCCTAAGGAGCACTGGGGTGTATTTAGTGAACATCCTAAGGAGCACTGGGGTGTATTTAGTGAACATCCTCAGGAGCACTGGGGTTTATTAGTAAATATCCTGAGGAGCACTGGGGTGTATTTAGTAAATATCCTGAGGAGCACTGGGGTGTATTTAGTGAACATCCTGAGGAGCACTGGGGTGTATTTAGTGAACATCCTCAGGAGCACTGGGGTGTATTTAGTGAACATCCCTAAGGAGCACTGGGGTGTATTTAGTAAATATCCTGAGGAGCACTGGGGTGTATTTAGTGAACATCCTGAGGAGCACTGGGGTGTATTTAGTAAATGTCCTGAAGAGAAAGGTTTGAGGACCCGTCAGGCTTTTTTGCTCCAATTTCTTTTTTTCTAGGTGGAGACTCACTGGGGTGTATTTAGTAAGCGTTCTGGGGAGCACTGGGGTGTATTTAGTGAACATCCTGAGGAGCACTGGGGTGTATTTAGTGAACATCCTAAGGAGCACTGGGGTGTATTTAGTAAATATCCTGAGGAGCACTGGGGTGTATTTAGTGAACATCCTGAGGAGCACTGGGGTGTATTTAGTAAATGTCCTGAAGAGAAAGGTGTGAGGACCCCTGTCAGGCTTTTTGCTCCAATTTCTTTTTTTCTAGGTGGAGACTCACTGGGGTGTATTTAGTAAGCGTTCTGGGGAGCACTGGGGTGTATTTAGTGAACATCCTGAGGAGCACTGGGGTGTATTTAGTAAATGTCCTGAAGAGAAAGGTGTGAGGACCCGTCAGGCTTTTTTGCTCCAATTTCTTTTTTTCCAAGTGGAGACTCACTGGGATGTATTTAGTAAGCGTCCTGGGGAGCACTGGGGTGTATTTAGCAAATGTCCTGAGGAGAAAGGTGAGACAACTCCTGTCCAGATTTTTTTGCTCCTAATTTATTTTATTTTTTTAAAGTGAGGAGATGCACTGGGGTGTATTTAGTAAACGTCCCAGGGAGCACTGGGGTGTATTTAGTAATTTAGTAAATGTCCCGGGGAGCACTGGGGTGTATTTAGTAAACGTCCCAAGGAGCACTAGTGTGTATTTTTAGTAAGTGTCCTGAGGAGAAAGTGAGAGGACCCCTGTCAGGCTTTTTTGCTCCAAATTTTTTTTTTTTTAAGGGAGGAGATGCACTGGGGTGTATTTAGTAAATGTCCTTGGGAGCACTGGGGTGTATTTAGTAAATGTCCTTGGGAGCACTGGGGTGTATTTAGTAAATGTCCAGGGGAGCACTGGGGTGTATTTAGTAAATGTCCTTGGGAGCACTGGGGTGTATTTAGTAAATGTCCTTGGGAGCACTGGGGTGTATTTAGTAAATGTCCAGGGGAGCACTGGGGTGTATTTAGTAAACGTCCCGGGGAGCACTGGGGTGTATTTAGTAAACGTCCCAGGGAGCACTGGGGTGTATTTAGTAAACGTCCAGGCAAAGCAAGGAGCACTTGGTGTATAAAAGCTCGTAGATGTTTGTATTGGAGTCATGGAGCGGCTCCGAGGAGTGCTCCGGAGAACCTACAAGAATAGAAATGCCTCTCCTATCCTAACAGCTCTGATTTGGGTTTCTTTTACAAAGGAAAAGGGCCACCATGTTTCAGGAGGTTGTAAAAGTCTCCCTTCATCAGGGCTGCAAAGAATCGGAGGACTGAAATTTAGCCCGGACGATATCAGCTGCGTGGACCCCTTCATACTAATAGGTCCATCTGCAGACTCGTGTCTCAGTTGAGTAGTCCGGTCCAATTTCAGTCTCCAGCCCTGAAGAAGAGAAACTTTAACCCCAAAAACAAAGATTTTTTTTAACTCAAATTCTGGACTTTTAGAGGCGGAGCATTTGGAATTTGAAACCTTCACACCGACGAATGAGCCCAACACCGAGGACATGCATGAACCCGTTCCCGGCCATTAGCTGCAGGTGGCATCTCCCTTTTGAAAGCATAGGGAGGATGCTGGCTCTTGCGGCCAATCGCATGCAATTGCTCATGGAGCGATCGGCCCCGATGCAGACGGCCTGCGTTTTCAGGGCTCCGTTGCTTTCTTGCCACTCATCCTCAGGAACCTCGCTGGGGTTCTCACGTGTAATCGGCGTGGGGTGCGAATGACTAGGCACACACGGGGGCTCATTGGACTGCATTGTCGTATTTAGACACCCAACGCAGATGGTGAAGATGATGGAAAAAACACAAAGAGAACGCAGGTAGGTGGCTTTATGTAGTTACCTTTTTAATAGTGAATTTTGTATTTTAGGAATTCTTTGATAACATCAGGAACCGCTTGGGATCTCCTGTGCAAACCTGAGAACTGGGGCCCTAAGGAACCCAACCCAACTCAACCAAGGAACCCAAGCCAACCAAGCAAACCTAACCCAACCAATGGAACCCAACCCAACCAATGGAACCCAACTCAACCAAGCAAACCTAACCCAACCAATGGAACCCAACCCAACCAATGGAACCCAACTCAACCAAGCAAACCTAACCCAACCAATGGAACCCAACCAAGGAACCCAACTCAACCAATGGAACCCAACTCAACTCAAGCAAGGAACCCAACCCAATTATTTCCTTCTAATATTTCAGGGGTTTCTTTTTCTATTGGTAGTCCTTGTATGTTCATGCACGGTCCATACCGCCCCCCTCAGCTCCAATCCCAGAAGATGGAGCGCAGATCTTCCTCCGAATGCTGCTTGATGCAAGCAACAGTCCACCAAAAGCCGCAGCCAGAACCCCCCCCGCTCCCTTCCGGACTGGAGATAAAGGATGCTTTCAATTGTATCCGTTACCAATGGAGCAAGACTACTGGTAGGTGGCCCAGGTAGGTTGTTGTCTGTCTGCTGGACGACCCGAGACAGGCAATGCTACATAACATTCAGTCGCCAAGAACAACGGTTGGCATGGTAACCTTGGGTGTGAAGGGTCTCCGGTTGAGCAGTACAGCCCAGACTCGGGTTTGGGGGAGGGAGGGTGATGGGCCCCTCATCCAGGACACGCCGCCTCTGCTAGCATCCTGTCACACGTTGGACAGACTTTTTGGCGTTGAAGATGCAATCGTTGACCGAAACGCCCCGATATGCGGCTCCGATGAGACTGAGAGGAAGGGCGTGCTGCTCAACGTAGGAGAAAAGGTTCTCTGGAGGGAAGAGAGGAGAAGATTACAGAGAAAACTCTGTCCATCCAAATTGCTACAATCTGCAGTAATACTTGGTGATCCTGCCATGACGATCCTTCCTGGTATGGGG